AAATATAAGTTCTTTCCACAGACCGGAACAAAAACAAAACCAAGACTAGAGCGCAAATTTTCGTATGCATACCTTCTGCACTTCAATATTGTACAGCTTCTTGACAGCAGCACGAATTTGATGCTTATTCGCCCGTACGTCAACGATAAAGACAAGGGTATTGTGATCCTCAATCTTTTTCATGGCAGACTCGGTAGTGAGTGGGTGTTTGATGACGGCGAACGCGTCGAACTTGCATCGAGCTGGTGCAGACTTGCGAGGATACCTGAAACAAGTTAGCTGAAATAGTAAAACTGCACCTGAAGACAATGTAAATATGAGAAAATTGAAAACAGGAATTCTCAAGTTCACCTGGGAATTCTAGGTGTCTTCAACGTTTTTGGTCGTCGGAAGTGTACGGAGGTGCGGATCTTCTTCTTGTGGACAGTGTGCTGCCCTTTCGCCACCTTCTTTTTGGCATCGAGTGCCTTAGAGACTTTACCCTTTTTGACTGTCTTTGGCGGTGCCATTATCCCTAAAAATGATTTGAAATAAAACAAACTGAATCAAAATGCGAACCTTATCGGAACTGAAAGTTTCATCTCAAAGATAAGCAGCGCTAAACAGTGGTGATCCAAATAACCAATACATATTCGTCATAAATATTTACTTGAGTCCAGCTCTATATGACAAGTAATGTAAAAGTGAGTTATTTACGAAAGAGATGGAAATTTGATACAAGAATTCAAAAAAAATCATTATGGAACAATGAGATGAACTAGTTTGTACAGACAATTACACTATATACATTATGTACAAAAGAGTATCATGAAAGCCACAAAGAGCAGAAGAAAAACTCGTAAAAACGCATTGCACGTAGAATTCTTCAAAAGTGTTGTGGACACCCTAATATTAGAGATTACTGACACGAGGGAAATGAGGATCATGTATCGAATTATTAGAATTAAAGTTATCAACATGTTCCACCAAACGATGGGACTCTTTGAAATCATGTGAATCTTGCGAACGTTCACAAACCTGATAAGCAAAGCCACCCGTTAATACAATAAATAGCAGCAAAAATGCCACTACAATTGCCACAACCCATTGAAAGACCATCAGCTGTCGCCTGACCGATACCTCCGAAGGAGGAAATGTGGTTGTCATGTAATTTACCAAAGCAGGAACATAATCGTTCCAAAAAGCCACTTCCATGTATAGATAGTCTCTTTGGAGTTTCCCAGGAATTGACATTTCAGACCAATGAGAGTAATTGAAATTCAAGTACCAGTGACGACGCGGTTCTAGGGCGGACCAAGACCCATCATACAGAAAGTTGGGATTTCTAAAATGAACATATTAAAAATTCCCCAATGTTACCTCAAAAATTTTTGTTTATCTCGAGTGACTGAAGTGCTAAATTAGATACTCACTGATGATATACAAAACGTCGAAATATGTTCGAAAACAGCTGGCTAGCATTCCTATCCATAGCTGTAAAATTAACACCTCTCAGATGGTATGGCCGAAGATCGTCCGGCATATATGCATACCCAAACAACATATACAAATCACATTCGCGACACGATCCTGAAATTCCATTTTAATTGAGACCTGAACGTCAGATCAGAGTAAAGTCAGATTTAAGTACTACGAAGAAAGTAAGCATTCTCACCCATCCATCCTGGTAGAAAGCCAGCTCCGGACAAATTATAGTTGTTCACGTACATGAAAGTGCGCGACCCTGCGGCAGAATGCAAATGCGCAGACAAGCTTATAGGAGCAGTGTAGTACGCATCAGTAACGAAATGGATAAATGCGTTTCGGACCGCCCATTCATCCGAAGGATCCGGCCAATATGTGTAACGATCAATTATTGCTTCCACAATCGCCTCACGGTTCATAGTGTAGTTGTGGCGGAACGCATATTCTAGTGCGTAACTTCTGAAGTACTCCTGGTCAACGTTGTTAAATTCGTTGAACTCGCCCAGCAAACGATCTTCCAGTATCACCTGGAAAACGAAACTTTTACAGTTCATAAATTTGGCCTAGATCAGAAAAACGAAAGTCTCTCATGGCATCGGAAAGTAGTTATGAAAAGAGGAATAAATTTTTTAGCATGTTGACACTGACAATGATGATGCTCAGCACATTTGAAGGTTTCAAAATGCAGCATGAGATAAGAGGATACTAAAGCTGTTAGGAGAATCGCGAAAAGTTTCATAAAAAAGAAATGACCTATTGAACGAAAAAAACAAAGAACAACGAGGAAATCCAAAACCAACCTCGGTTCCGTCTTGCGCGTTCATTCCTATCAGCAGTGGGACGGCACTTGGAATTGCTGACAAGCCGGTGGGCGCATTGTTCAATATCCATAATGGATTGCCAGGGATGTTTATTCCATCAACGGTAGGAAGGAAGAGATAACGGTTGAACCTTAAAAATCTCTATAAACAGCTACTCTTTATATACAGATGGACCGTATGCAGCGGTGCTTACTCGATGGGAATATCAGTCGTAGCTCGCACGATATCATTTGTGGATCGAGAGAGAATACAGTTCCAAACATCGATGGCAACTGACTGCGTGCAACCCAGGTACCTGCCTAACTTTATTGTATTGTTGAAAGCTAGTGCAGGTTTGCCAATATAGGAATGATACGAGACTTCGGCACCAGACATCACCGCTGCAGATCGAAAAAGACCTGAAATGTTCTGCTTTGACAAAAATAGCTCGCTGTGGTGAGTAGATCAACAGAATGAAACTGACTTTTGGAAAGTGGTGATAGCATGTGCATTCCCACTGAGACCGCCCCAGCATCATGTCCTGCCACAGTAATAGCTTGAGGATCACCCCCAAAGGATGCGATATGATCACGCACGAACTGTAGAGCAAGCCTTTGGTCCATCAAACCAAAATTTCCAGTAGTGGAATCACCAAGACTCATAAAGCCTCAAGAGTACAATATGAGTGAAAGAAAGGGGAGAATTAGTATAAGAAATCAAACAAAGTTGCGAATGTCAGTACATTAAAATGACCACACGTATTATCGAATACTGTGGAGGTAAGGTGTGCTAAATGCTTTTGTCCCCATTTCGAGAACCCTATCCCACGCAGAAAGGATCCATAAATGTAAGGACGTAGGTAAGATAACTCTAAAAATCCTTACCCAAAGCTCCAAGGCGATAATTCACAGTCACAACAACAATCCCTCGAGATGCTAGTCCATGGGCTGGCCAGTCATTCGCGGATCCCGTTTGAAAATTACCACCATGAAAAAATACGAGCACGGGGTAAGACATCCCAGCTACTTTTGACACCTAAAGAAGGAAGAAAGTGCAATGTCATGATACTTTTAAATAAAGCATTTCTTTATACTTGAGAAGTGAGGGTCTTTGAAAAATTTACGACAACCACTCTTCGTAAGACCTGCAGCTATTGACAAACCGAAAGAAACTGCAGAGGAACTCACTTCTGGTGAAAATATGTTCAAATATAAGCAGTCTTCATTGACAATGAATGGATAAGGATCATTAACAAAAATCTGTGGACGATATTCCACGTCTTGAGCGCAGGTGGCTCCATACTGGAAAGCCACATACGGGCTTGATGGTAGTTCCCGAATAAGCTGAGGAGGCTAAAATGACATACAGCATGATATCAAAACACTGAAGTTTTTTCACTTTTTAAGATGTCGAATCAAGTCAACGCTAAAGAACAAAAAGTAGTTCAGCAAAATGACTTGATACATTTATATTGTCCTTTTGACACTGATCCTGGATGGAGCTCCAGAATCACAGTATAAGGACAAAGAGAAAACATCAGCAAGAATCTATAGACTCACTTTTAATCGTCGCTGCGAGACAGGTGCTTCTGCATATGGTATACCTAAAAAGGTGTAAACGGTAACATTATTTCTCGGTGGCAGAGGGTTTGGATCGAAGTGAGATCGCTGTGGCGGTAACTGTTCCGAGGGATCTTGAGTTGGTGTCCAGGGCAAATCACGTAATAATATTTTTTTTCCAACTAAGTCTCCAATTGATAATCTGACAACGGCTTCGTTTTCTGA